GTTGCTACAGCCATAAGATGAATTGCCTACAGCCAGGAAGGTAACCAACTTAGCTAGGCTGGTTCTATGGGAGATTGGGGGTGGGGGGAAGACACAATCTGTCAACAAGACCTCACTAGAAGTCCTTCTACTTGGAAGGATGGGCCAGGAACTGTATATTGTGGGGACATAATATGAATGGAATGGAATCCAGGAACTTAACTAGAGAATATTAGCACACGCACAGAATAGGCCCTGATCTTTCCATCTATTAACCCTGATCCAGACAGCTAAAAGCTCGAGTATATACTAATGTGTCTGTATTGTATAAAACAAAGTTGTGCAGCTGGTCATGGGGGAGTAAAGCCTCCTCCACATTCTTCCAGAGAGGGCTTCATTCTTCTGTTTTTGTGAGTCTGACCCCCAACATATAGTCTGGAAATGAGGCACAGGGAAAGGACCCGTGAATCAAGCACCGAGGTTTCTGGGTTCTGCTCTTGGTTTAGTCAATAAGAAGCTATTTAACCCTTGAGTAAATGGGTGCCTTTTCTTCACGCCGGCTGAGAGAAAGTCCCTCAATACCTATCATCTCAGTGTCCTCATTTGTAAAGATGAGTGCATCAATACTCATTATAGTCTCCTTTACTGGGTTGTTGTGAAGGTGAAATCAATATGGAAACTTGGAAATGTCAGACAGATGTGAAAAGTAGAAGAGGAGAATGAGAAGGATGAAAGAAGGGAAAGAAAAAGATAATGGAAGATGAAGAAGAAAGTGTCGGCAAGAATACCAATTATGATGACAGAGGTGAAGAGGAGGGAGGGAGGAAAGGGGAGGAACAAGGAAGAAGAGGAAGGAGATAGAAGAAAGAACAAGAGGGAGTGAGAAAATGGAGAGAGGAAGAGCAAAATAAGGAAAAGGAAGGAGAAAACAAGAAAAGAAAGGAAAGAGTGGGGAGGAGAAGACAGAGGAAATGAGAACAAGAATAGCCAGCTACAATGGAGGATTGGATTAGCCTGGGAAAAGAAAGGCTGAGTGATTTGTCCAACGTCAAGAACAAAGCCACAAATAGAACTGTCTCCACCCCTAGCCTGGATGTAATGAGCCAAGAGCACACTAGAGATCTTACAAAGGTGCTGTCAGACCCAATCCCAGGATAGGTTTGACACAAAGGAAAGCTCGCTCCGAGTAGTGGAATGGTCTCCTAAATGTCTGGGTTTGGGAAAGGGAGCTAACGCTCTCTAAATACCAAGGACAGCGGCCCTTAGCGCTCTGCAGACCTCTGGTGGTCCTCAAAGGCGCTAGCTGTTGCAGAGAAACAAAGACAAAAGGAAGAGGAGAGATATTTTGCTCCTTGTAACTGGACACATGCAGGAAAACTCAGCAGAATGTCCATGATTCTGCTACTAACAGCTTGAGGAAAAAGTCTCCTAATCTCTGAATGCTAGCTATGAAAGGGAGGTCACTGAATACCCCACATTTTGTGCTCTAGGCACTCAGTAAATCCCTATTGAATTGAATTAAATTGAATCCCTGTGCTTGAGGGTACAAGCCAGGGGAAGAACAGGTTGGAGAAAGAAAGCCTGGGGAGCAAGAGGAGAAAGCCTTTCAGAGCTCCCATAGCAATCCTTGCTTTTACTCCTTTGTTCTCAGTCCCAATGCCACTTTCACCCAAAGCCCTCATCCCACAGCCTCACTCCAACCTTCTCTAAGTCTCTTCAAATGAAAATACAAAATGGTATCAGTCAGAAACTGAGACTAGAGAAGATTACGGGCACTATCCTCAAGGAGAATGTGCCGTGTCTGTATGTGAGTGTGTGTCTGTGTGTGTGTGTGTGTGTGCATGTGTGTGTGTGTGTGCACGTGACTGTGTGTTTGTGTGGTTTCTTTGGGGATGGGGAATGGGGTGGGGTAATAGGCTAAATTCCTTGGGTAACCCAGAGTGAGTCCCAAAATTATTCTAATTGGCATTCTTTCTAAAACCCACCTGTCTAAGTGCAGCCCACTGAACAGAACTGATTCTTGTGATGGACAGTCAGGGCAACATAACACTTCTGGGGCATGGTCATCAACATCTGCCTTTACCATACAAGACAGGAAATGAAGGATAGAATGGGAAAGAGTTTGGACCAGAAGTGTTCTCATCCCAGGAGATCCTGCTCAGTTCTATTTTTAACTAATTGGTTAATCCATCATGGAGCATTTGTTAAGCTCCTACTGTATGTCATGTGTTGGGGACACAAAGTCCAAATTGAGCCAGTCCATGTCCCCAAGAAATTTGCAAACTAAATCTAAAACCAACTGCTGGCTGTCACTTCTGGAAAAAATACAAAATCCTTTTTTTGGCAAGTAACGCCCTTCACAGTCTCGTGTACTCTGCAGGGCAGCAAGCTGGTCCACTGGATAGAGTGCCTGCCCTGGAGCCTGGAGGACCTGAGTTCAAATTCTGCCTCAGATACTTACTAGCTGTGTTGCCCTGGTTAAGTCACTTAACGCTGTTTGCCTCAGTTTTCTCACCTGCCAAATGAGCTGGAGAAGGAAATGGCAAATCACTCCAGTGTCTTTGCCAAGAAAACCCCAAATGGGGTTACACAGAGTCAGACATGGCTGAAACAACTCAACACATGTGCTAGGAAAACTGGCCAGTGGGCTGCTGTTCCCCCATACACAACATTTCAACCCCACCTCCGTGCCTTCATACAGTCTGCCATGCTTGGAAAAGTTTCTCTCCTCACCTCCAGCTCTGATAATCCCCAGCTTCCTTCCAGGCTCAGCTCAAGAGCCGTGGGGCATTCATTAACTCCCCTCGATTATTAGTGTCCCTCAAAAAATTAGTTTGGATTTACTTTATTTGTATATGTATATAGATATAATTTTTTATTATTTATATTATTTGTCATTTTCCACTATTGTATATTGTTTATATATTCTATATTTAAAATTTCCATTTATATACATTATATATATTCTATATTTAAAATTTCTAATTAAAGTTAAAAATTCTATTTTTCAATTCAGCTTGTTCACTGGCATTCATGTTTTCCCCCAAGAGGATGTCACTTACTTCAGAACATCTTTGTATCCCTAGTGCCTAATACGAAGTCAGACATAATGCCTGGCACACTGTAGGAGCTTAATAATATGATTGTTCAATGAAGGAATGAATACCCCCAAATAATTTTGATTAATAAAACTTCACGGTTCAATTAAACTATTGCCTGCTTTCCGAATGTAAACTGCACTCAACTTCCTCTGTCCTTTGTCCCAAGTTGTTCTACATGATTAGAATAAACTACTTCCACCTCTTCAGCTGTGGAATCTTCTTCCTTTAAAGTCTTTGACAGATGAATGAAGGGTGGATTGGAGTAGGGAGAGACTTGAAAAAGGCAGACTCTCTAGAAGGTTATTGCAACAGTCTGGAACTGAGGTGATGATGCCACACAAGGGTGGTGGCAATGGCAGAGAAGAAAAGGAGATATATATATATATATATATATATATATATATATATATATACATACATACATACATACATACATAAACATAGACATATACAAGAGATGTTGCAAAGCTAAAATCAATAGGATTTAGCAGAAGAATCATTTTATGGTATGAGAAAGTAAGGTATTGAGGATGACCCTCACCTTGAGAACCTCAGTGCCTGGTACATTGGTAAAACCCTCAACAGTAATAAGGAAATTGAGAAGAGGGGAAGGTTTGGGGGAAAAGAATGAGTTCATTTTAGGGCATTTTGAATTCAAAATGTTTATGGGATACCTAATTTGACCTACCCAGTAGGCAGTTGGAGATGTAAGATTAAAGGTTAGGATAGATGTTAGGGTTCGGTAAATAAATCTGACAATTATTTGCAGAAGGATGATCACTGAATCCAGGGTAGCTGATGAAATCACCAAGACACATACTCTAGAGAAAGAAGAAAGAAGGGCCCAAGACAGAGCCTTAAGGGACACCCGTCATTAGTGGGCAATACCCAGATGAAGACCCAAGAAAGGAGAATGAGAAGCAGCAGCTAGGGAGGAGGAGAATCAGGAGAGAACAGCACCACAAAAACCTAAGAAAAGACAGTAACAAGAAGAAGAGAGTGATTGACTGGAGCAAAGGCTGCAGAGAAGTTATGAAGAAAGGCCATCCGATTTGGCGATGAAGAGATCACCGGTAACTTTGAAAAGAGCAGCTTCAGTTGAATGAGGTTGAAAACGAGACAGTAGAGAGTTAAGAAGCAAACATGAGGAAAACAAGTAGAGGAGCCTATTGCAGATTGCCTTCTCAGTGAGTTTAGCCAAAAACAAGGAGAGGCATAGGATAACATAGTAAGGATGGCTGGAGCAAGTGAGGATTTTCTGAGAATGAGGGAGACATGTATGTCACAACTGGACTGGGAAATCTCATCCTGTTTTTAGGCACTAGAGAAGTAGACAGTAGATGGAGAGATTGAAGATAAGTGAGAGTGGGGATGATGGAGAGGACAATTTGGTGGAAGTCATGGTGCAATGGGTTACTTGAGCATGTACAAGAGTCTGCCTTGTCAAGGAGAAGATCCACTTCATTATATGAAATAGGGATTAAGGAGGCATCTGAATGATGTGAGATGAGGAAGAGGGAAGAGAACTCTTGGTGAATGGCATCATGTTTAAAAGTGAAAGATGAGGCAAGATTTTCACCTGAGAGAGTGGAGGGAGGAAAACTGTGGGAGGTTTGAGGAGATATACAAAGGTTTGGAAAAACTGATGTGGTTGGGAGGACAGTGAATCAATTAGGGAGGTTTATATAGGATCGTTTTGCCTCCATGAGAGTCCAATTAGATTATGTCATATAAATTTATAGTAGGCCCCGCCAGCATTGTTTTGCGATTTCCTCAAGCTTCACTCAGCAGCACATGAATAGGAGTGAGAGCAGCAGCTGGTGGGTGTAATTGAAGGAGAGAGATATCTGAGTAAGTGTATATTGTTTATTATTTAATTCTTTCTTCCCAAGGTGGCCAAGGAAGAGGAAACATGAGCTAATGGAACTAGGAAATCACACCAGGGTGAAGGAATTTGTTTTTATGGGGCTCACCCAGTCTCCAAGGCTGAGCATCATCTTATTTCTTTTATTATTTCTGGTGTATGTAACAACTCTGCTGGGAAATCTTCTTATCATGCTCACTGTGACCTGTGAGTCTCACCTCCACACACCTATGTACTTCCTGCTCCGAAATCTATCCATTGTGGACATTTGCTTCTCCTCCATCACTTCTCCAAAGGTTTTGCTAGATCTTTTAGCTGAAAGAAAGACTATTTCTTTCAATGGTTGCATGACACAGATGTTCTTCTTCCACCTCCTTGGTGGGGTTGATGTTTTTTCTCTCTCCGTGATGGCTTTTGATCGTTACTTGGCCATCTCAAAGCCCCTTCACTATGTGACCCTCATGAGTAAAGGAAGGTGCTTTGGGCTCCTGGTAGCCTCCTGGGTGGGGGGCTTCATACACTCCATAGTACAGATCTCTCTGTTGCTCCCACTCCCTTTCTCCGGGCCCAATATCATTGATAGTTTTTATTGTGATGTCCCCCAAGTCCTCAAACTTGCCAGCACTGATACCTTTGTGCTAGAGATCCTTATGATCTCCAACAATGGTCTAGTTGCCACATTTTGGTTCTTTCTACTCATTGTGTCCTACACAGGCATCATGGTGATGTTGAGGTCTCATACAGGAGAGGGCAGGAGGAAAGCCATCTCCACCTGCTCCTCCCACATCACTGTGGTCACCTTGCATTTTGTACCCTGTATCTATGTATATGCTAGGCCCTTCACTGCCCTTCCCTCTGACCGGGTCATCTCTGTCACCTTTACTGTCATTTCCCCTCTCTTAAATCCCCTGATTTACACCTTGAGAAACCAAGAGATGAAGTCAGCCATGAAGAGATTACAGAGACGACTTGCACCTTCTGCAAAGGAATTGTCTCTATGCTAACAGGGAACTGAGAAAGGTTAACTTGAACTTTATGCCCATTATTTGCAGGGGGCAAGATAGCATGAGAAGTATATTCTTGCAGATATCTGTGTTCTGTAGAATAGTGATGGGAGTTGCCTAAGTGACCAGTGAAGGCAATGGGTTTGGGTTATTCCAAGAATGAAGAAAGCAAGGCACATAACAAAATGCACAGACACACTAGACCCTCCTCCATTCAAAGAATATCTATATTAAAGACTACATATAAAAATGGAAAAGACAATGGCCTGGGAACCAGGAGACCTGAACCCACCACAGACTCACCATGTGACCGAAGGTAAATGATGCAACCTCTCTCCATGTTACGCCTGTGGGAAATGGACAAAATGTTCTCTAAGGTACCTTCCACATCTAACATTCTGTGTTCTCAAGTCCCTTCAGCTTCTAGTTTTTTACATTAATACAACTGCTTACATTTATGTAACGGGGAGTTAAGCAGAAGAGCCCCTGATTTATTTGACAATCACCCTGAAGACAGCCAATCAGAGAAGGGAACAATCAGAGGACTTCCTTGTGTCTTCTCCATAGAGGTGGAGGAGGAATTATTGACTTCCCTAGAAGGTGTCTCTTTCAACCAAAGACTACACTCTACAGTCTTATTGAGTTGATCACTTGGATAGAGGGCTCTCTGCATCAATCCATCATTATAATATAGCACTATAAAGTTTACCAAGCATTTAAACACTGTCTCATTTGACAACAATCCTATGAGGTAAGCACTACAGTTATTATCACTCTCTTTTAAAATTGAGAAAACTTACTCTCAGAGAAGTTGAACAACTTCCTAAGTATGGGATAATAGAAATTTCAAAGTTGGATAGGACCCTAAAGCTCATCTAATACAACCAATACTCAAACCAGAATCCCCTCAACAGTATACCTATATATCCAGCCTTTGCCTGAAGACTTCCAAGAGGAAGAAGCATCAGCCCCCTAAGCGGATCAGTCCTCTATCAGACATCTCTAATTCAGAATTCTTAACTATTTTTTGTGTCCTGGACCTCTTTGGCAGGCTGATGAAACCTTTAGACCCCTGTTTACAAAGGCATTAAATAAAAAAAACATAGGATTACAAAGGAAACCAATTATATTGAAATACAATTATCAAGACATCAAATAAATTGAGATCCAAATTTACCTCCTCTCCCCCAATCTTTTTCAGATGAATTGATATCTAGCTTTCTCCCTCACCTTAACTTGTGAAGTTATTTTCACCCTATCTTTTCTTGTGTTCTGAATGGTCAATATCTTTTCGGATAGTGTCTGTCAGCCAGTATCTGGGCCTGGAGTCAGGAAGACCTGAGTTCAAATCCAACCTCAGACACTTACTAGCTATGTGAATCTGAGCAAGTCACTCAACCCCCATTTGCATGTTTCTTCATCTGTAAAATGGGGGTAATAATAGCACCTACTTCCCAAGATTGTTGTATAGATTAAATGAGATGATAATTAGCAAGCATTTAGCATAGTGTCTACTGGCACATAGGAAGCACTATCTAAATGTTAGCTGCTGCTGCTGCTGCTACTACTACTACTATTACTACTACAACCACCACCACTACCACTGCTACTACTACTACTACTACATCTGAACTGTCCCTCCTAGCCTTGTGTCATCTGCAAATGGGATAAGTCAAAACAGAAGGAGTTACATTAGGTCTCTAAAATCTCCTGTAATGTGGCAGCTAGGTGGCACAGTGGATAGAGTACCAGCCCTGGAGTCAGGACAACCTGAGCTCAAGTCTGATCTCAGACACTTGAAGTCTCACTAGACACTTAGTATACCCTAGGCAAGTCACTTAACCCCCATTGCCTCACCAAAAAGCAAAAAGTAGTAAAATAAAAAGAAATCTCCTCTACTTCTATTTTAAGTCATCATTAGCCCGCTTCGGTTTGAAAGGGACACTTCAGATTAAATTTTAAAGTACTGTGAGTCTTTTGTTTTTCTTCAGAGAACCAGATGCTAAATATTTACCGGCACATCCCACTGCTTTTAATGTTCTATGATATTATAAAGGATGGAGCACTGGACTTGGAGTCAGGAAGACCCGGATTCAAATCCTCTCTCAGACACTTATTAGCTGTGTGACCCTGAGCAAGTCACTCAACCTCGATTGGCCTCTGAGCCTTTGTCAAGCAAAAGGTTAGACAAGGTTGCATCCAGTTCCAAGTTAAGGCTCCTATGATCCTATCCTATATTCTAAGGTTCCTTTCAGCTGTTACATTCTACAGTTCTCTTTGCTAAGATCCTTTCTGGTTCTAACATTCTATGTTCTAAAATTCCTCTAAGATCTAGAACTCTGGTCCATGTCCTCTTCCAATTCTAACATTCCACAGTCTAAGACTTGCCTATCCTCAGCCAGGACCATAGGATGACAGATGCAGAGATGGAAGGGAACCCTAGAAACCATCCAGTCCAACCCCCTCATTTTATAAATGAGGAGACTGAAGCCTAGAGAGGTTAAAGTTGACTTGGCCAAATCAGAATTTGAACCCAGGACCTCTGTCTGACTCCAACTTTAAGGCTCCAGCTGCATGAGCACCAGCTGGCCCTTTCCAGTTCTACCATTCTTGTTCTAACATGACATGAGTGTCCTTCAGTTCTTTAGCACAGACAAGTTACTCAAATGCATAGCAAAAACAGTAACTACAAGCATTTCCCCCAACACCAGGGACATACACTTTCACAAACACACCCAGCATCCAGAAAAGGAAAAGATTGGACACTGACTCAAAGTACAACTGACTGAGTAGGTCATTCGATGTCTTTGCTGGGTTCTCAACAACTTGGCTGATACTGGACTGGCCCTAATACTGGACAATTCTAAGTGGGCTCTGTCTTTTAGCCCTGGACAACCTCAGGCTTTTGTTGGCCTCACTACAGCACACTCTCTCCCTTAGACTATAGAGTGGAAATGAGGCCCCGGTTCCCAGGTCTGGCTTTGATGACTAACAGGCTCAGTTCTCTCTAGATCCATAAGAAAGGTCAATAACTTTCACCAGCATTGTCTAGTGTTGTCAGAACATTAGAAGGAAGATGAGGGTTCAAAAGGATGGGGAACCTTCAGCTTTGAGGCTACATGTGGCTCTCTAGGTCCTTGAGTGTGGCCCTTTGACTGAATCCAAACTTCACAGAACAAATACCCAAAGGGGATTCTTTTGCAGGTTCCTCACCCTTGCGAGTGTTTCCTCAAATATTACTAGCAATGTGACTCTGTTAACAATTTCCTTGTCTTCTTTTGACCTCAATTTCCTCACCTGTAAAATGGGAATAACCCTTGCACAATCTATCTCACAGAAGAGTCTTGTAAACTTCAAAATGCTAGGGGAAGCTGCATTGTTAACTAAGTTCTAGCATAGCCCCATTCTCCTGTACTTGTGGATAGGAGAAGAATGCCTTAAGGGGCATGCAGTGGAGTCTTTTCCTGGGTCTGATGTTTCTGGAACAGACGGGTGGATAGAAGATTCCTTGACCAGACTGACACCCCCCCCCCAAAATCAGTAGCCAACAAACCCAGCCTTATTGCACTGGTTCTAACTGTTTGGACTCACTTCTTCCTAGGAACTGAAGTTGCTGTGAAGGTAAGAGAAAAGGAAAGACTGAAAAAAGAGATGGGCAGCTGGAAGGGAATCTTCGGCAAATGGCCATATCTCTTGGTGGTGTCTTGCTGAAGTCTCACTGGCGGTGGTAGCATCGGCTGATCGTGGCAGCATCAGTGGTGGAGGCATCTCTGGTGGCTGTGGCCTGGTAGTAGGAGCAGAAGGTGTGTAGTATTTTAAAGTCTCCCAAACTGCTTCCTTCCTGCCCTCCAAGAGCACTGCTCGGCAGGTAATACGTGTATGATTAGTCCCATCTGATAGATTCCAAGAGACGGAGAGTGTCTTTTCCAAGATGACAGAGCACAGCTGGCGGAGGGGGAATGTTGTCCTCCCTCTGGCCTGGAGTCCTTCTGTTCCTTTAAGGCTCAGACCAAGCACCAAATTCTTCTTGAATGCCTTTCCCTGAACCCTTTGTGCCTTTCTTCCTAAACCCCTTCATTTGGCTTACTTGGTCTATATTAACTTTAGATTTATGATGTGTGTGCATACGTATATGTATGTACATTTACCTATGCATGCACGTATGTATGTATATGTGCTGTAGTGTGTATTGTATATATAAATGTAACATGTATTTGTGTAAGTATATATACATACATATGCTTATTGTTGCCCCCTCCCCACAGTAGAATACAGGCTCTTTACAAATACGTATCACTTATTATTCTTCGTCATTCTGTCCCCTAACCTAGCTTTGTGCCTGACACAAAGCGGCGCTCACTTACTGACTGCGTGATCCCTCAAAACCTCCAAATATAGCTTCACCCTGGCACACGCTTAGACCCAGACCTCTTCGTTTTATTAGCCACCAGAGCACCCCTGCCGCCCCTGCACCCGCCCGGCTCTCCTTCTGGGTCCTCCGAATACTTTAGCGTTCGTGACTCCAAGGCGAAGGTGATGACAAAGTTCTATCTCTACAAGGCTCGGATGCCCAGACAACGTCCTCCGAGCTTGGGGATTAAGGGAACTCGGGCTGCATACCCAACTCCCCCAAGGTGGGACACCTCCAGCAATGGCCTTGCTTGAAGGGAGAGTTTTCTGTCCAAAGATAATAGGACTTAGAACTGGAAGAGAAACTCCTTTGGGAGCATCCGTTAGCCCTGCCCCTCTCCTTCCAAACACAGACCCATTTTGCAGATGAAGAAAGTGAAAAGGATGGGTTCATCTTGGGCCATCGCTGAATGTGGAGCTGAGATAGACCTTAGCGATCACAGGTCAATTCTCCCTACCTTTCCAGTTTGAGGTATCGGATCGTTTAAAGGGTGTGGAGCCCGAAAGATGCTCCTCCTGTGTCTGTGTGTCTGTAAAGGAAATTGAATAGGACAGGATTCGGATTTTGCTTGTTTCCAGGAGATGAGAATTTTTCTGGGATCGCCAGCTAAAAGTTAAAAGCTTCTCTTTCGCATGGTTCCACTGGGGCTCGAACCCAGGACCTTCTGCGTGTAAAGCAGACGTGATAACCGCTACACTATGGAACCTTCGAGTTACCGCTCATTAAGAATCTTTGGAGGAAAATTTCTTTCCCTTACCTGGTCCCCTCCTCCCTCCTCAATTTTTTTTCTTCTTTTTACTTTCCCCGAACTGAGAGATAAATGTTGTTCTAAGCACAAGGGAAAGTCTCACTGGACCTCATCAATCTGTACCCACAAATCCCGCTTGTCCTATCGGGAGCTAGGCGCTAACCCTATCTGTGAGGGGTCGTGGGCTAATGGATCGGACAAGCACTGCCTCGCCAGATTCCCCAGCCCCAAACACCAAACCACGCCCTACGAGTATGCGCGCACTCGGTGGGGTGCAAGTGTCCCAACTGTGCTTTCCACGAGGAACGAGGGGGATGAAGAAATGATCCCCAAAGCCTCTACCAACTGTAAACTCCAGTATCCCTTCCTATGCTCTAGAAAGTATACCCTTCCCCAGGAGGCACGCTGCCTTTTGCGTATAGATGTGACGATGAAGGCAGACCTCTTTGGACGAATGGCTCTGTGGCGCAATGGATAGCGCATTGGACTTCTAGTTAGAGCTAAAGGAATTCAAAGGTTGTGGGTTCGAGTCCCACCAGAGTCGTGTTTTTAGAAATGAAAATCAAGGAGAACTAGCATCCTGGAACTCATTTCCTACCATTCCCAAGAAAATGTGGAGAAGTCCGCTGCCAGGTTCCGTACTCCCATAACCTACCCGAGAGCTGGGGCAGTGTGACTTTGCAGGCTCTGCTTCCGTAGCTCCTGGTACCAAAAGGGAGGAAAAGAGAGAGGTGTTTTGTGGAATGGTTGTGAGCTCCTGGAGAGCAGTGTCTATTCATTGTGGCCTCAGTGCCTGGCTCTTGGAAGGTGCTTAACAAATACCTGTGAACTGGTGCGTTTCTTCCACTAGACATTCCATCTCAGTCTAACACAGTGATATGTCATTTTGGTCTTCTTCGAGAACGAAGGACAATCAACCAACAAACCATCTCGGTCACGTACATAAGCACCTGTGGAGCACTTACCACGTACCAGGCTCGGTGCTAAGCTCTGAGGATACAAAGAAAGGCAAAAATGAACAATCCCTTCCTCTCAAGGGGTTTGCATTCTAATGGCAGCGGCAGCAGGTAAACGAGAACGCCCGAACAGGACATAGCCAGGATGAATTGGAGATACTCTCAGAGGAAAGGCACGACCTTATCAAGGGGGATGAGAACGGGCGTCTTACAGAAGGTGGGACTTCAGATGAGACTTGAAAGGAAGCCAGAGAAGCTAGAAAGAGGAGACCAGGAGAGAGAGCAAGCATTCAAATGAGAGCATGAGGGCCAGCCAAGGGAAGTGTCCGCAGTTGAGAGGGGGAAGGGTTTGTTCCAGCGACAGCGCGGAGATCAGTGTCCCTGCATCTGCGCGCGGGAGGCAGAGGAGGTGTAAGAAGACCGAAGGGATGCGGGGAAGGAGGGACAGTCTGGAAAGGGGTTCCAGACCACTTCCTTCCCCTCCTTCCCCCATTACCTACTTATTTACGTTGTATAGATATCTTGTATACTCATTCGTATACTTGCAGGATCCCTGGATAGACTGTAGACTCTTTGAAGACAGGAATACTTGCATTTCTGGATGCCCAGAGCTTTGTGGAGAATTCCCGGCACATTTAAGCAAGCTACTAGTAAATGCTTATTCAACACAGGCTCCGGGTCCAGGATCCCTGGATAGACTGTAAACTCTTTGAAGACAGGAATACTTGCATTTCTGGATGCCCAGAGCTTTGTGGAGAATTCCCGGCACATTTAAGCAAGCTGCTAGTAAATGCTTATTCAACACAGGCTCCGGGTCCCAAAGATCACCTAGCTTTTGCGTCTTGTGTCAGTACCTCCTGGGCCTGAAGGACGAGACAAAGAACGTTTTAGGTGGCCAAAGAGTAACCCAAGGTCTCCTTGCCTCTCCTCTTTAAAGTTGGGTTTTCTTCCCCAATTCGGCACGGGCCACCAAGATGGTCACCAGGAGAGCAATTGAGAGGCTCGGGGAGATAAGACCTCCTCTCAGGAGGGGGTAAAGCCGTTTAGTCGTCGACCAGAATGGCCGAGTGGTTAAGGCGTTGGACTTAAGATCCAATGGACAAGTGTCCGCGTGGGTTCGAACCCCACTTCTGGTAGGAAGATTTGATTTTTGCCTCTAACCCTAAATACATTCTCTAGTCACTGTCCACGTAAGGTGGGAGGCGCGAAATAAAACCTGGAAAATCCACTTCCCATATGAATACAGACTCAACCCACCTCTTATCTCCGGGAGTTGAGAAAAACCCGGAAGGGAACTTTGAACGACGCAGCCCTGCTAAGCCGGGTGATTACTTTTTCTGCACCAAGAAAAATCTAGGTCATTTAATAGTAATAAAAGTGATCATTGGGATAAATAGCAATGGTTGTATCTATTTTCCATAATCTTTTCATTGATGACTCCTTTGTGCAAGGCCTACTTGCATTATCTCAACTGATCCAATGCTTAACACAGTGCCTGGCATTTAGTAGGCGTTTAACAAATATTCATCTTCACGAGAAGCCACAATAGGACCAGATCGGGATATGCGGAGCTGTCCGAACTCCGTGCTCTATTTCGTGTTTAGTACCCTAAAACCTCAGACGTGGAAGGAGCCTCAGAGCTCATGAAGTCCACTCTTCCACGTGGCTAGATGACACGTCTACAAACATCTCCAATGAAATCGTCTAGCCTATGCTTGCACACCTCCAGCAATGGGGAATTCAGTGTCGTTACCTCCGTGAAGGAGCAAAATGGGAGCAAGAGCTCTCGTAAGAAAGTTAATGCTCCTTTAAAACAAGCGCGCACGGTCATACGCATACACAAATACACAGACAGACACACACACCTCGGATCCTAGAAAAAGCAACCGATTGTGCACAGACGAACGTCAGCTTCCTAGTTCCACTGGGGTTCGAACCCCAGACCTTCTGCGTGTAAAGCAGACGTGATAACCACTGCACCATAGAGCCCAGGCGTTATGTGGCGTTTCGTCTCGGGTCCTTAAGAGGGCATGCAGATTAGTTCCATATTTTTTATTGTTTTATTAAATTAATTAAGTGTAGCCTGAGTAAGCGGCAGCCGGACCTGAGGAACACAGGGCCGGTCCGAAGTGCGCAAGCCCTGCGTCCACGTCCGGTTTCGGAGCCCTCCATATGCACCGGACCCTTCTCTGAATCTTTCAGCGCTCCATGCTGAACCAGAGAGCGGTCTGTGAGGATCCCTGAAAGCGGATGTGAGGGAAGGGGGATAGAACTGTATCTTTATTGACACAGACCTCTTCAATTGAGATCGAGCATTTCCCTCGATTAAGAGTGGGGAAAGAAAAAAAAAAGCCTAATGCCGAAACCCGGGATCGAACCAGGGACCTTTAGATCTTCAGTCTAACGCTCTCCCAACTGAGCTATTTCGGCAACCACACGCTCAATGTCAAACTGTGTTGGCCGCCAAGTCTGAGCTGACTTTTTTGGTGCTTTCTGAATGTTTCTATTTCGTAATCAAAAGTCAGAAAAAGATACATTAAATCATCACGTTAGAACAGGAAAATATTTCAGAGAGACCACAGACCAAACCGAGGGGCGTCCAGTAGTGACGTGTCTAAGGATGCATTGAGGCACAAGGAATCCTAAATGAATGTTGGATGGATGGATGGATGGATGAACAGATGGATGAACAGACTGACGGCCAGACGGATAGATGAGGGGTTGAAATAATTAGTTCATCTATTACTTGGTTTAACTTGTTGCTTTAAATAGATTTATGATCCTATAAAAAAAAAGTGATGGCTTGAGAGGAAAAAAAAAATCATTACAGGCTGACACCCATTAAAGATACAAGTCAGTGCCTAAGACATTGGTCACAGTCATCCTTTTTTTTTTTTGTCATCCAAAGGATTTTCGTCGTTTCAAACTGCTTTGCCCCCAAGGTACAACGTCATCCTATTTTTCCAACCTAATTTCCTGTCACTTTTTTCCACTTACTAATACACTCCAGACAAACTAAACCACTCACTGTCAGAAACCTCCGCCCCCAACCTCCACAACACACACACACACACACACATACTTCTTGCATGCCTTTGATTCCAATATCATACCCCCAGACACGCATTGAATGACTTCTAATACTTTTTTACACTAGAACTGAAATCAGTTATATACTTTACATTGCTTAGATTTTCCCTTCTCTCTGTCCCCATCTCCCTCCAAGAGGGATTTTTTTAAAGAAAAAAATGAAAAGGGCAAAAAGGAAAAGGTTTTGTCAAAATTGAGGTGTGTGTGTAAAAATCTAGCATCATATGCCATGTTCCACATCCCTGAACTTCTCATGCCACCCCCCAAGCCCCATCCCCATGAAGGATCTGGGGTGAAGTGTCTTCTCATAGCTCTTCTTTGGGGCCGTTTCCTCTTTGTACATTTTCAACATTTCTTTTCTACTGCTTAAAATGTATGCCAATGATCATAGCGCTAGCTCTTTGTTTGGCTCTTTTTTCTTTTTCACTCTGAAGGGTTCGTATTAGTTTAACCTCTAGCTTGACCTTCAAGGACTCCCGTAGTTCATTGCCACCCTGGTTTTTTTTTTATTAGTTTTTGTTGCTATCTTTTGTTTTTATATTGCCTGGATTTCCACCCCCACCCCCATTCCTCTCCACACACTCCCAGAGAACCAAAACTCTTCAATGAAAACTTCTCTATTACTGTTAAGATAGCCACCATGCTCCCAATCAACCAGGCTTTCCGACTAGGTGTCATGCTTGACTTCTCACTCTCACTCAACCTCCCATAGCCAATCTGTTGTCAAGTCCTTTATTCTACCTTTGCAACATCTCAGATGTAGATGCCCTTTTCTACTCTAACACTGGCATGGTCTCCCTTTCTCAACTCCCACTCCACTCCAGTACATCCTCTACTGAGTTGTCAACGACCTTCCTAAAGCAGATCCCCCTACTCAATACATTTCTATGGCTCCCCATATGGCTTTTAAAGCCCTTCATAACTTGGCCCCTCCTACTTTCTAGTTCTTTTTACCTTATTCTCCTTCACAGAGTCTACAATCCCACGATGCCAGCCTTCTCCATCTCCCCCACTCCATTCTTATTTACTGGCTTATCTCTCATGTCTGCAATGCCCTTGGCTTCCTTCTCACTCTACCTTTTCCAAGAAGCCTTTCCCACTAATCCCCCACCTCCTCTCTCAATTTCCACAAAGCTAATGCCTATTCTTGGAGATTATCTGTAATTTATCAAGCTTTTGTTTTGTTTTGTTTTTTAGGCACATAGTTATTTGCCGGTCATCTCCTGCCTTAGAATGTGAGCTTCTTGAGGGCAGGAACTGTTTTTTCCTTTCTTTGTATCTCAGGCACTTGACACAGTGGCTGTCATGCAGTAAGAGTTTACAAAATGTTGACTTTCTCTTGGAACTAAAAAAGTGGGGGGGGGGGAGTTGTTTGTTTGTGGGAGAGGGAATGCAGTCCTGCACAGTTGGCAATTGCCCTATTGGAGGGTGAGATCACCCTGGGAGGGGGGGAGCTTAGGACAAAGGGATCTGGGGGTAGTATCCTAAGCTAGGGTACCCTTCTGTGGTATCTGCCTTCATCAGGCCTACAAAGGAACCTAAAAAGCAACGAATGATGAGTGAAAACAGTAGTTGCCTAGGAAGTCACCTCCCCATCCCTCAAGTTTGTGTCAGATGCCAAATCTCCATTTGCCCAGTGGTCTTTAAGATCTGATTTTAAACCTACCTGTTCTCAAGATTGGAGGTTCCAAATTTTTGCTTCATTCAAACAAGTCTTCAAGAGAGTTCAGCTGAGTACAACCTTCTGTGAATTTCAATTGTCCATTTGCATTCTGGTGGATAGCTTCATTAACTCAGACTGAAACTTGGGTGGCTCAGATAGACCCACCAATCTCCCCACCCCTTGGACGCCTGCTCCTTTCCTGATTCCCGTGGGTTGGTAGTGCTCTCCAGTCCTTAAAATTACTCTGCGTTATGTTTCATGTAATTAAGCGCATGCGCATATAATTATTTCTGTATGATCTTGCATCCTCACCCTCTAGAAGAGATTCTTAACTTTTCTTTGTGCCACGAATCCCTTGGGCAGCAGAACCTAAGGAGCCCTTCTCAGAATCATGTTTTAAAATAAATCTTTGATCTTTTTGTAGTGGCAAAGAATTGGAAATTGAGAGGGGAATGGCTGAATAAGTTGTAGTATATGAATGCAATGGAGTCCTACTGTGCTATAATAAATGATGAACAGGCTGACTTCAGAAAAACCTGGAAAGACTTGCACGGTCTGATGCTGAGTGAAGTGAGCAGAACCAAGAGAACATTGTACATAATAACAGCCATGTTGTGCGATGACTAATATTGATAAACTCAACCCTTCCCAGCAATGCAAGGAGCTAAGATATCTCCAAAGGCCTCGTGATGGAAAATGCTATCCACATCCAAAGAAAGAACTATGGAATTTGAAAGCAGATCGAAGCATACCATATTGGCTATTTTTTTTTCTCTTCTGTTGAGTTTTGTTTCCTCTTTCCAGTGGTTCCTCCTATTGGTTCTAATTCTTACAACATCACTAATGTGAAAACATGTTCAATAGGAATGTATATGTATAGCCTATATCAGAAGGGGGAGAAAAATTTTAAACTCAAAAGCATATGGAAGTGATTGTTGATAAATCAAAACAAATTAATAAAAAATAAAATAAAAATAAATCCTTGAAAGAAATGCTACATTTTAGTTAGAAGTTAAGGAAAATAAAGAAGCATTTTTCCATTCAAATTCACGGACCCCTTTAAATTTATCCGTGAATTCAGGGATTCCTGCCCTAGAATAAAAGGTTCTTGGGGCAGATTGTGTTCTTTTCACCTATATCTACTCTGGGCTGTGTTCCAGCTCGCTGCCCCGGCTTGGCACATACTAAGAGCTTACTTCATGCATGGGCCCTGCCTGCCTATTCTCTCCTCGGCCGTTCGTTCTACCTCCAGGGGATACCCGGCGCCGGGATAGTAAGTCAAGAGTCGGGTACAAGCTCTGATTCTCCTATCCTCTATATGACTGGAAAATCATTCCCCTTCTCCGTGCCTCAGTTTCGTCACCTGTAGAATAAAGAGATTGGGATGATAACGATAACAACTAATATTTATGTTGCGCTTTAAAGTTTGCAATGTTCTGAAAATATTCTCTTATTTGAGTTGTTTCAACAAGCTTTTCCTAACGTTCCTTCCACATCTCAAAAGCTCTGATGACCAAAACAGAGCTCAGAGACTCTGTTCTGCCCTTTCCCGGATCTTTGAGCTCCAGAGCTTCAGGTCGGGAAACAGTTTTCCCCTCTACCTTTCCCAGGAAATACCACGGTAACAAATCCCGCTCCACTGATCAGTCCTCCCTGGAGATAGGGGACACTATTCTTAAAGTTTTAGTGTTTTTCTTCCATAAAACGTGAGTTGCTCGCCCGAACAGGGACTTGAACCCTGGACCCTCAGATTAAAAGTCTGATGCTCTACCGACTGAGCTATCCGGGCTCTCGAGTCAAAAAGCGAGCTTGGGTAAGTGAACATCTTAATTTGCTTTTTCCATGGTTCATCTTGTGGGTTTTTTCCTTTATCCCACCTCTTTTTTACGTTCTAAAACTTTATCCCGTCTGCATATTTGAGGGCTGAAGGAGAAAAGTCTCTCTCCACCCCACCCACCGCCCCCACCTCGTCTTGCGAGAGGCCAAAACACTCTTTGCAGAGCTGGGATCTTCGGGCCACCTCGGGACATCAACACTCGCTAAGTCTCCTGTACCAGGTTTGAGACCGCAGAAAGAAAGGAAGGGAAGCCTGGAGGGGTAGAAAGCCACGGACTTGGAGAAGTGAGACCCTCTGGGGCCGATGGGAAGAACTTTGCTCTTTCCGCCCTTTTGCTGAAAGGTTAGGTTAGTCACGGAGATTTGTCCCTACTTGCCCTTCCTAGTGTTTAAGAATAGA